TGCAGGAACTACAGTTAAAAATATTAGAACATCTGAAAAATAAAATAAAATAAAAAATATTAGAAAATTTTCTTAGAATTTTTGATCATTTGGACTTAACTTCCAGACTGTATTTGAGCACTGAATTAGATAGTTGCTTCTTGCCTAACTAATATAACGTATCGTCAGTGTTCAAGAATGGGCCAATTTAAATATGTTTTCACGTATGATTAGGTGGCTGGGAGAGGTGTTTATGGACTTCTACAGACAGGTGAAATCCCACGTTTATGTTCATAAGTACATTGACAAAGTGTTTAAACAATTCCATAAAAAGTTGAAAATTATTTCAGACATATGCATTTCTTCCATCCAGGGTCACACAGGCAGATTGATCAATGGTATAACGAATAAACATGGACCTCAATGCAAAATCGAATGTAGTCCCTCAACTTGCCACCAAATTTCTCCTACAAACTAGGAAAGTTGGTTGAACTAAGCAAAAAGTGAGCTGCTTAAGCCTTGAGGTCAGAAGGATGAGGGAAATATGTTTCTTCTTCAGTGGTGGGAGTGAATATTCCATTTCCAGTGAACACAGAAGAATGCCTTCTTGCTCATAGTTTCTGTAGCTGTCCCCAAGGTTATTCATGGATACTCCCCATGGCTAGAGAGCTAAGGAATAGTCTGATTAGGAACCAAGACTGGACTCCATCTTGCCACTTCCACTCTTACTGCTAGTCTGTTAGACTTAGTCCTGCATCTCTACCCCTGCTCTGAGCCATTAACCATAGGAGCTGGACTTTGCAACTGAGGTGGACTGAATCTTTCTCTGAATTGACTGTCTCCAGCCCTGATGGATATAGGCATGCATTGTGTGTTACCTTAGAACTGTAACCACACAGAACCCAAAAAAAGTCTTCCTGAAAAATATGGTAGCAAACTTCGCTTTTGCTATTTCTCTGTTTGCTGTTTCTTAAACAGCAAGAGAAGACTGAGGCAGGATCCTGTCTGAGACATCTGAAAAGTAACTGCTTCATGATTTATGAGCATTCCACCTAAAGGGAGAATCAATAGAGAGAAGGAGAAGACTTGGGGAGAACAATCCAATAAGTAACTTTAAGCCTGTAGCACATTACTTTTCTGAAGCTCTCTATTACCACTTTATATATAGTAGACGTTCGATATTTATTTGTTATTTGAATTGGATCGGGATATTTCTTCTTTAGTACTGTCTGCTCTTCGGGACATTTTGCCTTACTATATCGATCAAATAAGTACAGTATTTGGTGCCAGCTGTTCAACTCAAATAAATAATTATTTTTAAATAGCCTTCGATTTTTGTAATGATGTGCTGTGTTCCCCATCCTGCCCCTCCTGTGCTTGCTGACCATTACTCATAAAACACATATGCATTGCCCACAGCAGTGGTTCTCAAATTTTAGGTTCATTTATAACCCAATTTGAAAATACAGATTCCTGGGCTCCCCAACCACAGTGTTCTTTAGGTCTGACAAGGGATCTAGTCTCCTGTGTTTTAACAAGCACCCTGGGTGATCTAAGTACAGGTAATCCATGGAACACATTTGAGAAACTGATCCATAGATTTTTCCCTGCCCTAGACTCTGGGACCAGCCTTATGGAAAACAGAAAGAAGATAAAGAACCAACAGTTAGTTAATTGCTAGGGCCGTGATGATGGTCCTGCCCTGGGATACGACCTTATTTCACTAGTCACTATTTTGTTCTCTTTCCTGCTTTACGTCTCAAATCCAGCCATCTTGCCCTGGATCTTGGTAGCTAGGTCCATGATATTCCTGGGCTTCATTGGCTGCTAGATGGAGAATTGTCAATTACTAAATCCCCCCCTTTTTTTTAAGGAAGATTAGTCCTGAGCTAATATCTGCCACCAATCTTCCTCTTTTTTGCTGAGGAAGACTGGCCCTGAACTAACATCTGTGCCAATCTTCTCTACTTTATTTGTGGGACACCTGCCACAGCATGGCTTGACAACTGCTGAATAGGTCCGTACCCGGGATCCAAACTGGCGAACCCCAGGCCGCCAAAGCAGAATGTGCGAACTTAACCACTGCTTGACCGGGCCATCCCCTAAGTCCCATATTTAAAGTTTTGCCTGTCCACCAGATCTTCCACCCAGGGCCAGACTCCACTGTATGCCATTTTGGATTTCTCCAGTGGCTACTGCTTAGAAGTCCTCTTATCCCCTACCTTGCTTATGTGGGTTTCCTGGATGGCTCATCCCAGCACTAAATCCTCACTCCTCATGACAGACACCCCTGAGGATGCTGACTATTCTTATCCAGAATTAGCCCAAAGAAATAGGATATCACCAGGCTGGCTACCCTAAAAAATATCATCTCCCTCTTTATCTGTATTAGAATGAGAGTTCCATGACTGCTCACTCACCCAAGTTTAACATAAGAGATTTTAGAAGAGGAACAATTAAAAGTGAGAAACAACTTGAAATAATGTTATTTTTGTTGCATACAGCCTATTGTCAAGAATGGCCCCAAAATGCAGATTAAAATAAAAGTGTTCTTAATTGGCCTTCAGGCTGATACATTGCATTGGAGTTAGAACACTCTCTTCTCAAAAGAACCCTCTATAAACTCTCACTTACCAAGCTGAAATAATGGAGCCCAATAATGCAGAGTCCCTCCATACAAGCCCCTTCCAAAGGGACTTACGCAGCCCAAGAGAACAAACAGATTGTCTCTTGCTCCCTGCCTGGTCTTCGAGGCTAGTACTGAGGAGACCTGAGCATGAAACAGCGAGTTCAGTTAGCTACAGTCACCTTCAGTAAGCCAGTTAGATGAGATGGATTATGTCCCAAGGAGATAGAGAGGGCATGGCCCAACCAGGGATGGGTTTAGACAGTACTTGCTGGAAGACTACAGCCTGAAAGGAAGGTTGCTGACAGCACTGGTGCCTTCCCATGTTCTTACTCCACCTGTAGAGAGCTGAAATATTGTCTTTGAAGACAAGAAGAGTCTTTAGATAGGAATAGAACAAACTCTAAGGATTTCTTTCTCTCTCTTGCTTTGTTCATTTATTCAACAAACATGCTTCTTAGTACTTTCTATGTGCTAGAAATAAACTGCTCTGGCCTCTGCCCTCATGGGCTTACCATCTTGTAATAGAATTTAGGTCATGAATTTTTTTTTTGGACACAGATCTACCCAGGACTTTAATTTTCTCACTTGCCTGTATGAGATGAAAAGAACACTGTAGATATTGCAGTGATGGGCAGGAGAAATAGTAAGAAGGGCCCCAAGGAAGCCACACCACAATTCATATTCCAATGACATTCCTTAGATAAACAAAGCTTGAAATTTATGGTAAAGGTGCTAGTAAATAGAAGAAAAGGATGAAGATGCCCACAAATTAAACAGAAAGGTTCCCATGGATATTATAAAGCAGACAAACTTGGTTTGGAGAGTATAGATTTGTGTTAGAATTCCTCTTATGTGCCTTCCTTGTTTCTACCAGATAAGACACTGAAGACTAATTGAAATATCCAGTGCTGTATAAGCTAATATTTTCATTAGCTTAAACCAGTAGTTCAGGCACCTGAAGGGCTTGCTAAAAGACACATTGCTCAGCCCTATCCCCAAAGTTTCTGATTCAGTAGATGTGGGATGGGGCCTGAGAATTTGCATGCCTAAAAGTTCCCAGGGTTTGCTGATGCTGCTGGTTCGAGGACCACACTTGGAGAACCACGGGATTAAGCAAGCATTTGGAGAAACCGTGAAAAATGTTGCTCCACAAAGGAGTATAGACAGCATCACTAGGTTTAAAATTTTTAAATACCTATTGTTTTTCTCACTACAAAATAATATATATTGCAAAAAAAAGTTTTTTAATAAACAGGCAATAAATTCATAAAACAACCTAAGTAAATTTAAAACCAGACACTCAAAGATAGCCACTGACAACCTTGCTGTGTATTCTTATAAAATCTTTTATGTTTATATGATGTATGTGTATATACATGCACGATACTCTGTCACACACACATGCACACACACACACACATGAAATAGAAGCATCTTATTCATACTGTTTTGTAACTTACCTTTTCACTTAACGATATGTTATAAACACCTTTCTCTGTCAATACAATTCTAGCACATGATTTGGTTCATCCTTTGAGTAGAGATACCATAATATATTTAAATGTTCCCCTCTGCTGGGCACTTAGGTTGTTATGCCAGTCGTTTTCTGTGAAAACAGGTTCAGTATAAATATTCTGGTTAGTCTTTGTGTACATCCTTAATGATTTCCTGAAGACAAATTCCCAGAAGAGAAATTGTGAAGCCAAAAGTTATTTAGATTTTTAAGTCTTTTATTACATATTGCCAGAATACCCTTCGAAGAAGTATGGGCTCAGTTCCTACACCCATCAGCACTTTGTGGGTATTTTATCACCTTCACATGACAATGAGCACATGTTTTTCTTTGCCAGTATAATAGGGTGAAAATATCTCGTTTATATTTTGCATTGTTTTCTGTTACCAGTGGGGTTGGTAGTAGTGTCACATTCAGTGATTTCATACTTCTTTCATTTGTAGGTGTGCAAATCTGAGATCTTTGCAAATCTTAGAATCATACTATTAACTCTTTACAAAGCAATTCTTTTGTTTGAGAGTTTACATGTTTGATATTTTACAGAGTCCAGCATGTCATTTTTCTTTGTCACAAACAAAAAAATCTCAGAATAGAACAATTTTTGTTGTATTATGTAAACTTTGGGAAAATGAATTTGCTACAAAATTCTGTTTTTTGATTTGTCTAATGTGATATGCAATCTCAATTCTCAGTTTGTGAATTTATTATAACCACAATATCATTGGTCTAATTGTACTTATAAAATAATCCAGGGGGGAAAAGTATCCACTGTGTTTGAAAGAGAAAACTGATGGAACGATGTATCTTGTCTGTTTATTAATATTTATTGAGTGGCCCCATAATGTGAGTACTAAACTGAACTTTCTTGGTGATACACAGGGACTGTTAGGTGAAAAATATGGGAACATCCGAATCCCTGGAGAAGTGGAAGCCTCAGAATTTGAAATGATTTTGGACGCTGCCATAGAGGCGAAGCTGGAGACCAAGTTATTGGAAGAGTGGTACTGTCGTGATGAGAACTCGGTGCCAGCAGCTTATTACCTCAGACCCAAATCGGAAATGCTGAAAAGCAATAAAAATGCGGTAAGTTACCTTTCTCTCCAAAGATACATACTTTGTTTATGTCACCCAGGAGTGGTTTTCTCCTCGGAGAAGGCACAGAAACTTATTCTGCCCTGGACCGTAAATTTCCTTTTAACAATGAAATCCAAAGCTAAGAAACCTTCCGTTTTTTTGACCCACCTTTCCGTTCAGCCTCTCAGACTTTCTCCCTGGGGTCACTGCCTTCTTCCTGAAGTCTGTCTTTTAGAAGTTCCGTTAGTGAAGGTCTGATAGCGACAAATTCTATTTGTTCATCTGGAAATATTCTTATTTCTCCCATCTCACCACAAGGTGTCTATGTATTTGTTCTGATTGGTATACGACATGCTTCCCATATCTGTGAATTCATGTATTCTGTCTGTTCTGGAAAATTCTCAGACATCATCTGATCAAATAATCTCTCTCCTCTGTTCCCTCTGTTCCTTCCTTTTTGCTCTTTAATTAGATTTACACTGGACGATCTCAGTCCGTCCTCCATGTCTCTTAATTCTCTTTCACATTATCAGTTTCCTTGATAATGTTCTCTCTCCATGCTGCTTTCCAGAAGATTAGATCTTTTTTCCAGCTCACCAATTTTTTTCTTCAGCTGTGTCTACTCTATTCATACTTTAAGTTTCAAATTCAACAGTTATATTTTTAATTGTGAAAGGTTTTTTTGAGGGAGGGGGAGTCTTTTTAAAATCTGCCTGGCTATTGTTTATAGTCTGTCACTTTTTTTTTTTTTTTTAAAGATTTTAGTTTTTCCTTTTTCTCCCCAAAGCCCCCCTGGTACATAGTTGTATATTCTTCGTTGTGGGTCCTTCTAGTTGTGGCATGTGGGACGCCGCCTCAGCGTGGTTTGATGAGCAGTGTCATGTCCGCGCCCAGGATTCGAACCAACGAAACACTGGGCCACCTGCAGCGGAGCGCGCAAACTTAACCACTCGGCCATGGGGCCAGCCCCAAGTCTGTCACTTTTTTAATTCAATATTTTTCCTTTAACATTTCACACATAGTTAATTTTACATTTTTTATCTTATATAGAATCTTCAAGTGAGTTCGATTCATGTATGTATATGACAGAAACATTATCATTGTCTCCTCTCCATCTTGGTTCCCAAATATGTCTATTATGTGTCTCTTGAAACTGAATGAAGGAGGAAGAGAAAATAAGTGGGCCTATTCATTGCACAGAATTTTTAGAGAGATTGAAAAGAAGGCATAGATATCCATCTGTCTTCCACAGAGAACATCCTTGATACATACAGTACCCAGGCAGCTCCAAGACGAGTAGAGCCCTGGGTTAGCAACAGTTCTTCATTTAAGGACTTTGTCTGTCATTCTGATATTTAACATAAAGCATTTTCTGCATGCAATATGAAATCATGTCATAATACCTGATTTTTCTTCTTCCCCCTCACATGCATTATTCAAAGTAATTATCTACAAGAATATTGCTTCTGTGGGGAGGAATATTGGGGTAAATCCAAACCATTCCCCAGGTAAATATGCTAAGACTAAATGTAGCTATCAAAAAACAAGCTACCTCAAGAAAACCAGGTCATACAGTGGTTTGGGAGCACTTGCTCATGTGTTACCATTTAACTGGCTTTAGTTGTTCCTTTTTCATTTGATTCTACGAAATCTAAGTTATTCTCTAAACCCCCCATATGATATCTCTGCATAAATCATTGTTAAATAGTTGAATGTGTGAATAAGATTATCATCAAGACTATAAATGTTACTTTCTTGGTAGGCAATCTTTCTATTTTATTTCCTAGAGGATCATTAAAAAAAATGAAGAAGAAACAACTAAAAACAATTAAATTATAACATATGAGCACTTCCCCTTTAACTCCTATTTAGAGGATATTGAAGAGATGATTTTGTTATAACATCTGTATCCAAACTCAAGAGGGAAATACATGGTATAACAAGAAAGTGCAACAAAAAAAATCCTGTCTAGATTCACACTCTTGTGAAACTAACTTCACAAAACTTTCAGGGTTATGGGGAGATTAAATGAGATACTGTCTGGTAAGCACCTCTCACAGTAGTGGCGCATTGTAAACCTTCAAATAATCATAATTCTCTTGCTCTTAAATGTGGATTTTTCTTTGAAGATTTTAAGACTGATATCTAGCTTTTATATTTCCATAGATGCAGCCTTCCACCAATGCTGAGAATGAAAAGACCTGGCAAGAGATATCCGATGAAATCAAGAAGATATTTAAGGCTGCTGTAAAACTGTTACATGAAAAGGGGAAAATGAAACACAGCCAAGCTAAGAGGTACCTGTTCTCAGGTAATTTCTACACATCCTCAGTAGACTAAGGAATCGATAAATAATAGATGCATTCGCTACTTCCCTTTTGTGGTTCTGCAAATTTCATTTCATTTGCTGCCTGGTGAAATTTAATTTTTCTAAATGTTTCCATCTCCTAGAGAGGCAAGTGTTCTTTTGTTTTAACTCATAGTTAAGCCTTTACTTAACTTGAGGACTCCTCCAGAAAATGTGATTTTAGAAGAAGTCAGAGGAGGCTGGATAAAATAGACCAGACTCTGCCAGTGTTTCTCAATTCAGCTGTTCATCCGTTCATTCACTCACTCCTTCATTCAGCAAACATCTTTTGAGTACCTGCTGTGTGCCAGGGACTGGGGATACAACAATGAATGAGAAGGCAAGGTCTCTGCTCTCCTGGAACTTATTTTTTAGTGGGGAAAATAAATGATAGGCAAGTAATCAAATAAGTAAACAAGATCATTTCAGAAAGATAAGTGCTATGAATAAAACAATACAGTGCTAGAATAAGGGCAACTGATGAAGGATGTTGGGGTCCAGAGTTGGAAGGGGTGGGCAATGAAGAGATGACTTTTGAGCTGAGTGACAGAAGGAGTTAGAGCCGGCAGTGCCGTATCTAAGATAGAGAATTCCAAGCAGAGGGATTACTGGGTTCAAGATCCCTGAGGCAGGACTTTGCTTAGCAAGTTCCAGGAGCAGGAAGAAGGTAAAGGGAGCCAGGTCCGGGGAGGGAGAGATGAGGTCAGAAGGTGAGCACAAACCAAAATAAGAAACTTATGTTTTATTCTGGGCAAGATGGGAACTCATTGGAGGTCGTGAAGTAAGGGAGTGGCAGGGTATAACTGAACCTTAAAATAAAAATCTCCCCAGCTACTGAGCAGAGACTGGCAGTCGGCCTTTCTCAGGCAGGTTTATTTTTAGAAGTTGCACAGGAAACCACAGATCTGAAGGAATACGTCAGTCATAGCTTCCAGGGGACAAATGCTACAGGTGAAAGGAATCAGATACATAGCATTTATTCTGAAAGTTGATAGTAAAGAATTATTGGGGAAACAGCAATAGCAGTTGCATTTTCAGACTGGTTTTGTGAATGGCATGGCAAAGCATTTGTGAAAACCTAAAAGGCACTTGATACTATTCTCCCTGGATACGTGAATTTCCAGCTCAGAGAAATTATAAATAATCTCGACAAATTCATTCTCTGGAAGCTGTCAAAACTTAGGTCTTATTTTAGGTCTCCCTGAAAATACTAAAATTGGCGGGAATAAGTACTGTCTTTAGAATATACAGATTAACAAATAGCCTTGTTCCTGTGGGGTCTTTTTGGTCCATTTTTGAAGCTCCGGTTCTTCATCCTAATCAAAGGCAAAACCACCCTGTTCCTAGACACATTAGAAAAAAATGCCCCCAGCAAAAGCTTTCCCATTCTTGATGTAAGAGACACCAGTTTGGGGAAGGCATCCTCACATTTGGAATCATACAGCTAAAGTATTGAAATATTTCATCACAAACACATTCTCCTAATTTTCTCCAAGCTGAAGAACTCTGTCCACATGGATAGCCATATGAAGATTAATAATTTCATCCTAGTAGTATGAATTACTACAAGTAGACTGTTTTATGCTTGGGGTTGTATGTTTTAAATATATGCATGCTCATTATAATTTTATTTATTTTACATTTCAAACTCATTTTAAGACCATGTCTGCACAGTGAAAATTGCTGGAGAAGTGCCCAATGGATATAGTATATTACTTTAGTATTTTCAGAAATCTTAAAAATAACACTAGGTAGAACCTGGAAAGAAATATTATTTATATTTGAATGTAATTTTTCACAACACTTCCAGTTTCACCTTAATAAATACCAGAAGAGGAAAAGAAGTACGTTAGACCCCAAAATGGTGCCCTACTGTGAATGTCGAAACTGAGTGGTCTTGAGAATAGTAGAGGGATTAATGTGTCATGAATGATAGTTGCCAGGGCTGGGAGTTTCCTCCTAAGGTGATCTTCATTGGGTACCGTGACTGGCTAAACATTAGGATATTGAGGAAAATGCAAAGACAGAAAACAAATATATATTCTAGTAAGGAGGGGGGAGTTTATAATATTTATAGACAAATGAATATCAGAAATTATTAATAAAAGTCCCCTCAAATCATGAGGATGCACTTTGCTTCTAAAAAGAACTCTATAGAGTTGACTTAGTCTCAGATGACTCATTTATTCAGGTATACGTATTAAGTCTGACCAGCAACCAGGCACTCTTAGGTAGAGCCTCTTTTGTCCCCCTGAGCCAACCTTAGGTGGGCTCTACCAGCTTGGTTTGTCTCTCTCTCTTTTTATGTTGCATTTGTGATCAACACTCCTGATTGACACACTATTTCCATACAGGTGATATAATGTCAGTTAGGTTGCAGTTGACTAGTTTTCTGGAAGTCAGAGGTAACAGCGCATATCTCTGATTATCATCTATTATGTATAGATACTACAGTTTGGCCACTTCCTTCTTCATGATACTCAGAATGTAATGCCTAGCTAATCTGGTGAGCTCCCTAGCATTTTACACGGATGACTGGAAAAGATAATGGGCCCAAGCCCTCTTTCTGCAAGAGCTTACAATGTTGAGATTTCTTGCATCTTCCCTTGTCTACATTATAACAAGTTTTTACTCTTCTATAAAATAAGAGTAGACATACGTTGTACAAGCTCCTTTAACTGGCCTCCTTAACCAACTTGCCTGATTAAAACCCTTTGTAAAGCATACCCATGTGCATGGCACAGGTCATTCAACACTGGTGGCTATAAACATTCATTTTTCACCTGAGTCACAAATTTTGATCCATTGCTTATCATTGGTGAAAAAATATTATCATGAGACTTCCACTATAAGGCACCATTTTAAAATAAAATTCCCACCTTCCTTAATAGTTACTTTATAGAATACTATTCTATGGTTGCGTTCTATACATGCATATTCTATACTATACATACTATTCTATACATGCATATTCTAGATTTTGCTTGATGGTGGAGTTGTGGCTAGCCCATTGAAATGTTTTCAGTTTATGGCCAGCCCAACCCTGTGTATTCAGAGCCCCACCCTCTCCCCCACCATGCTCCCATCAGATCCCAGTCCGGCAGTCACCTCCTTAGGAAAGCCTTTCCTGGCCTCTCCAAGTGGGTTAGACTCCCCAATTGTTTACTCTCATTGCATCATGGTATTCTCCTTCACAGGGCTGAAAACAATCATAATACATTTATTCATGGGTCTCTATGATTCATGTCTGCCGTTCTCCACTGGATCGTAAGCTCCATAATGAGTTTTTCTCTTAGCATTCTCTGTTTTCTCTCACCATTGTATCCTAAGCAACTAGCAGCATGCCTGGCACATAGTAGGGACTCAGTGAAGACCAAGTGGATGAAGGAAAGCAGGCGGAGGGGGGTGGGAAGCAGGAGGAAGAAAGAGAGGGAGGGAAGAAGAACGCAGAGAGGGAGGACAGCCAATTTTAAAAGACTGCTTGCCTTAAAATTCATTTCCATTCTTTGTTTTTATTTTTCTCCCCCAAAATCATGTGCCAGTGATGTTTTTATTACTACTGATCCAGTTTTAAATGTTCTTATGGCACCTCCAATGATTTATAGTGTATATTTACTTGCATGTCAGCATATGTATTGTAAGCCATAACATGGTTACCTCAGAAGATGTAAAGTCACATACTAAGTCATTTTTCTGTACCTGCTCTGATGGATGTAATGGAGTTTAACAGTGACATGAATAATTCACATTCATCAATAATCAGAACATGATTACATCTTGTTTCAAATATGCTCTTATATTTATATTTACACGTATCTGCCTGGTATAAAATGCACTTCAAACAAAATGGTGAAGCCACATTGTAAAGGAGAGACAGACAAGGAAACAGTAAACTCAGTATGTCTTTGACCTTGTCCTCATTCCTTCCTGACCCTATTGGTCCCTGCTCTTCACTCTTAGAACTGCTGAAGTCTAAGAGGGAAGCTAAGCAGGAACTTGGGAGAATCAGCTATAAACTTTGTATGCTTTCTTTTGTCTTTTGATCAACTTCTCCCTCCGATTGTGGAGGAAATTAAATAATTTTACTTAAAACTCATTGTTCTGTGGCAGGCTGCTTAGCAAAAGACAAGCAGGAAAATTAAGAAATTAAATTATTCTATAGATGACTCCGCTACACACTATAAGCAAAATCATCTAACACTAGTGACTAATAGTTAAGTGCTGGGAGTGTGGGCATGTTGGTTCTTTGTTCTAGGCAATAAACTCCTTGTCATATTTTCTTCCAGCTATAGAGGATGAATTTGACTTCGCTCTAGGAAAGCAAACGGCAGCATTCCTCAAGAAGTGTGTGTGCTACATTAGGAAAATTGCTAACATTGAGCGTTTTGTGAAAATCCCAGAGATGGGAAAATACATGGACATAACTGGAACAGAACCAAGGATTATTCGGGACCCAGAAGCCCAAGAGAAGCTGATAAAACTCAGGGATGAATTTATTCCTACTATTGTTGCGTCATCTAATCTGAGAGTGTACACTTCTGTTACTCATTGTGACATGAAACTAGGCTATTCCCAAGAAATAGAAAATCATTACATAGAAGGACTTGGTAAACAATTTTATGAGGACATGATTGATATAATTCAGGCAACGGTACAACAGAATTTTGACACTGAGACTGATACGCTCTATGATGAAATCCTTCAGCATTCATCATTATGTAAAACGTATGCCTCCTTCTACGAGTACAAATGTGAATCTCTAAACACCGTGTATAAATACATTCTTCCAAGCAAAACCGGGCACATCAATCCTCTTATTATATATGGTGGACCATGCACTGGAAAGACCCTTCTATTAGCTGAAGTAGCAAAGAAGGTAAAAGCCTATTCTTTTACATGTATATTTGTAAAAATTTTTACTTATGGGAAAAGATAAATGGATCAAATTCATTTCCATTTTCTGGGTTTACTCTCTGAATTATAATTAGCCTTTTTGGAATGTATACTTCAGTGTTTCTCTTCTGCTGGTATAATGGTTATACTGAAAGAATAAGACTCATGGGGTGCAATTATAGAACAGCTATATTTATTTTTTCTGTCATTGTTCAAACTCATGTTGTGGGCTAGTTCCCATTTGCATGGAAACTAGGACAGATCTCACAACTCTTCTCATCCGTCTCACCAAAGACAAGCCCTCCAGTGGCTTCTGGACACTCCATCAGTCTCAGTTCAGCAACTAAATATGTCCAGTCTAAGATGATAATTAAAGCTTCAGTCTACATTTCTCTGCCCCGACTGAGGCCCACCATAAGCAAGGTATGTAGAGTGAGAAATAGGGATGTGGCCATCTTCTCCTTTCCTTCTCCACATAGGACTTCTTCCCTCCTTCCCTAATCCCAACCACATGACCTCTATAGGGTTGTGACCCCTATAGGGTTCTGGTTTAGGGGATATGGGAAAGGTAAGGTGACCAGAAAGTTCTTACATGACCAGTACTGTTCTGAACTGGGCTCTGCACTCTCTGGTCTTGACAGGTGTTTAAAACTGCATCCTGTTTCTTCTGAGGCCTTTTCATGGCTTCCTGGACGTCCTTCTCCTCCCACATCCCCTGCCCTGCCTTCGCTGAGCATCTCTCACCTACAGTTCCCTTGACACAGGGAATGCACTTTTTTTCCAGCTGGTCACTTCCTTGGCTCCTAGACATCCAGCAATACACTTCTAGTATCTTTCTGCCAAGATCCTCTCCACAGCCCAGCAAACTCCCCTAGACAGGACCTGGGAAAAACAAAACGCTTTGTCAGCTCACCCTTGCTGGTGGCCCACATCTGGGACATGGGAAACACTCAGGTGTTTTTTTTGCCCTGAGAAACTCCAGTTCCAGTACAGCAGCTCTGCATCACTCCTCTATCGGAGCAGCCAGCCAGTCTCAGTCACTCAATGTCTGTATCTCTCAGATGTCATCAGACACAGATGGCCTTGTCTCCCAAGCTCTAGGGGGCACCCTCTCAATGGTCGACTGTAGCCCTTTCCCTGGGCCAGAAGTGAGGGGTGGGCATCTCTCAGCCCCCCCTTTCAGGAGTGGGATGGTGATAGATACAACCCACGGCACCCTAACCTCCAACTTTTTTCTCAGTCTCTTGAATCTCTTTTTCAGGCTGGAAGTGGATTGTCCGCTAAAGGTAGCAAAGCTGGTTTTCACAGCTCCCTTTCAAGTCTTGCATGATGGTCTGGAACCTCACTCTGGAATGTGATATCTATTGTCTTGGCATCTCACTCTAAACTGGGCTAAACTAGTTCCATTTTTAACCTCCTGTTACACTTGATATCAAAGTCTGATGGTTTCTATTATCCTGGTATTGCTTCAGAATCTCTATATTGTTCTTTCTATGGTTACTCTCTCAAGAACAGAGCTTTCTTTAACTGCGTGAACATTCTTGTAATCTATCACGTGCTACACAATCTCAAGCAGGTCATTTGGAGGACAAGAACAGGGACAGTTGTGTTGCACCTCATGTGGGGATTAGGTTCCAAAGTAAGCTCAAGCAAGTTTACTCAAAAAGTCCTTGGGAAGGCCAGTTTACCATTTCTTAATATGTCAAGCCCAGCTGCTGGTTTTTCTTCTAGTGTTAGAAGATGTAGCTCTTTCTTTACACCAGATGAAGTGGCAGGCTTACATTTAGGGGCCCTGTTGCATCAAAATAAATGTATGTGTGTGTGTCTTTGAACACTAATTTGTAAGTGACTCTTCAAATTTTAGAATTATTCCAAATAAGCAAGATACTAACACAGTAAGAGGCACATGGGAACTGAAATCAAATGAGAAAACATTCACGTATGCCATTTCACACTCGCTGTGAGGCTTTCTTCCTTGTGGAGGAGGGAAGGGAGAAGGTGGGTGGAGGGGGAAGTGTTGTTGAATTTGACTAAGTTAAATGTGCATGTGATGCATCTCCACGTGCTCTAGCACAGGAGGTAAAGACTCACATGGGCTGTGCTGATATGCTTGTGTAGATAAGCAATCCCAGCGCGGCAGAGTGTGGTGACAGCTGGGCTGCTCAACTTGAGAAATGGCTTTCTGAGCTCTTGCTCTTCTGGATATTTTGTCCAAACACCAGAGTGCGTCCACTCACAGTCCTGGACTCTGATCCTCCAGGAACCACACCAGTTTCTGGGTCCCCTGCCTGTGTTCCACTTGTCTCTCTCCTGGGGAGCATCTGCCCCACCAACAACAACCTGTGCTCTCTTGTGACCTCATGTCCCTTGTAAGGATGCAGACAGACATCTCGTGGTTATCTCCTGTGTACCTGACATTTCCAGGAACGTGAGCTCATGATCGGAGGGCCACTCTCTGCAGATACCACACATTCAGCAACACATGACTGGCAGGAGAGAGGACGATGTGTATAATCATCATGAGCAGTCCATGGAGGGACAAATAATTGCATTGTGTTTCTGATTTGCCACCAAAGGACAGTGGTAGGATGGCAGGATTAGCTGCCTGCAAATCAGCTTCAAAGGTTGGGGCTAAACAACAATAAATTGCTTATCTTCCTTAATAGCTCATTCTGAAACTGACAGTCCTAAATCTTTCCTCAACTTATTCAGATCTTAACTGGAACTATCTCTGGAGGAACCAAGTTTCAAAAACTTACTTTCTATGTGTATTTGTGTCTTTTTCTAAGGAGTATCCTTGGTGAATTCCAAGGATTACTGAAAGACGTGATCTCCCTAAAATAAACTTAGGAGTGTTTTGTACCACGATTGTCTCTCTTTTTGTCCTTGCCTTTCCAGACTGAAAAATACTAAACTTACCAGCCCCCTCATAAATGTTATCTTTTTAACTCCACAATTAAAAAAAGAGAGAGAGTGCACTAGAATGAAAGTCAGATATGACTGCTACTCCATCTTTGTCTCTCGGCAGAGTCATTTATGCAGCCTGGGCCTTGGTTTCTTCTTCTGTTAAATGACACTGTAATCCCATGTGCCCTGAAGAGAGAGAATGTGAGGACTGATGACTGCCTGTTTATCGTATATAAATATATATACTTTAAAGTATAAAAATATATAAATATATATAAATATATAAATAAGTATATAATATAGGAAACTATTATAAAGCACAAAATTTGACAAAACCCTTTTAACCAGCATTATGTAGATTTTTATGACAATGATACATCATCATCAAGATGACCCTACAGCACCCTAATAAAGTGTCTCTGAATCATGAAAGATTACATGCAGTATCATTTTTGTACTGAGTATTTTTTACTGCATTCTAATTAACTGGAAATTTTGTCAGCCATGTATGGGCTTTATGGGATCTCAATTCATGAAAATATTTGACTCAATATAATGTGTAAATCATTACTTAATCTAATCATTAAATGAAGATTAAGCACCTACTATATGCTGGCAACCGTGCCAAGAAATGGGAATTCAGCAATGAAAAAACTAACTATACCTGATATTTGGATTTACTGTTTACGAAACACTTTGTAACTTTTAGAGTACAACTTAAATGTTGCCTTGGGATTGAACGATACTATTATGACTATTTTGTTGCCTTTAGTAGAGTGATCCCAAGGGTCTCACCTGTGTATTTTAGTGCATGAGCTTTGTGACAGTTCTTTGACCTTCTCAGAGGACTTTTCCACTTCCTGGTTCTAGGCTACTTCCTGCATGGTCAGGGTTACCAGAAGTGTGACCTCTGGAGAGAAGAACTGTTGTTGTATATGACCATGTGAATAAATATTACCATTCTAAATGCCACCTTTATGTTTTAGGCTTATGGCTGGCTACATGAAGACACAGGACCAGAATCTGACCCAGTCGTAGTCGTGAGATTTCTAGGAAGCACAGACATGAGTACTGACCTTAAGACTCTCCTTCTAAGTGTTTGTGAACAGTTGGCAGTTAACTACCGATGTCTGGTTCAAAACTACCCTAAGAAGATCCATGACCTCCGTGACTTATTTATAAACCTTTTGAATGAGTCTTCATTGCAGAGACCTCTAGTAATAATATTTGACGCTCTAGAACAGCTCTCAGAGAGTGACGAGGCCAGGAAGCTTTGGTGGCTCCCAGCTCACCTTCCCCGCTTCGTACGCATAGTCATCTCCACACTGCCCAACAAACATGGGATCCTGCAGAAACTAAGGTGCCTTATCCATGCAGAGGACAACTACATCGAGCTGATCCCCCGGGACAGGAAGATGTGCAGCCAGGTCCTCAAACACCAGCTGCTGCGGGTCAAAAGGAAGGTCACCTCAGGCCAGCAGATTTATGTGAACAATGCATTCTCTAAGTGCACACTGCCCATGTTTGTGAACTTGACCTTCAGGGAGGTGAGACACTGGAGATCTCACAAAGATGTCGATGAGTCCTCCCTCTGTGTCACTGTTCATGAGAGTATAGAGCAGCTATTCTGGTCCTTAGAGAAGAAGTGTGGTCAGAAACTAGTCTGCAGGGCTCTTGGTTACATCACCATGGCCAAAATGGGCTTGAGTGAAATGGAACTGGAGGACGTGTTGGCCCTAGACAACAGCGTTATGAATGAGCTCAATGAGAACGCCAGGCCCAGCAATCCCCTGAGAGTACCTTATTTGTACATCGCGAGGCTCAAGGAGGGTCTCAGCGGATACTTAATAGAAAGACACGTGAAGAATGTCACTCTTTTGGTCTGGGCCAACAGACACCTGCAGCTCATAGCTCAGAAGCTGTATCTGCAGGATGACAGTGACCTACGTGAAATGCACACCATCCTGGCAGATTATTTTCTGGGGGTCTGGTCAGGGGGCAGGAGGAAAGCTTTCTGCCTCGAAGATCCCTACTTGAATGGCTGCCTTGACTTGGAGAGCAGAAGTCTGCTTGAAGAAGAAAAGCACTTCATGGAACAAGCTTCCTTTGACAGGCAGGCCCCAGACCAGCCCTGGGTTTTCCAGTGTAATCCACTGGAGCCTGACATCTTCTTTGTCAATCATCGGAAAATGTCTGAGCTCTTGCACCACCTGACAAGGTGTGGAAAAACCGACGACCTGCTGTATGGCATCATCATGAACTTCAGCTGGCTTTACACCATGATCAAAATCGGCCAGTTCGATAAAGTGCTTTCAGACATCGAGCTGGCTTACAACTGCTCGCAAGAGAAGGAGCTGAAGTTCCTGGCAAGCACCCTCCGCAGCATCAAAAACAAGATCATTGCCTTTCCTGGCTCCCTTTCAGCAGAGCTCCAGCAAAGACTGCTGCCTGTTGTAAGTTCCCTGCCCAAACTTAGACACCTTCTTTTGGAGTGTGACAAAGACGGGCCCAAATATTGCTCCATTGTGCCATTACATTCATCCATGGATGTGACATATAGCCCAGAGCGTCTTCCCTTGTCATCTAGTCACCTGCATGTCACCGAGATTCTGCCTACCTGTAACCCCAGTACTGTCCTGACAGCTTTAGAAAACGGGTCCATCAGCACGTGGGATGTGGAAACTCGTCAGCTACTCAGGCAGATCACAACAGCCCAGTCCGTCATCCTGGGCATGAAGCTCACCAGTGATGAAAAGTATCTTGTGGTGGCTACAACAAATAATACCTTGTTGATTTATGACAATGTCAATTCGTGTCTCCTGTCTGAGGTGGAAATCAAAGGGACCAAGCATGGAAGCGGCTCCACCTACATCAATGGATTTACACTGTCGGTCAACCATGCCCTTGCATGGCTTGAAGCCAGCAAAGATGTCACTGTCATTGATCTGCTCTACGGATGGCCCCTTTACCAGTTCCACTGCTGGTATGAAGTGACCTGTGTCCAGTGCTCCCTGGATGGCGCATATGCGTTCTGTGGACAGTACCTGAACACTACGACCATATTTCATTTAGGAAGTGGAGAAAAGTTATGTACGGTGACATCTGAATTTTCAGGTGGGTTTGTGAAGTTTCTTCTTATCTTGGACACAGCCCAAGAAATGGTGATGGTAGACAGTGAGGGAAGCCTCTCTGTTTGGAATACTGAGGACATTACCAACCCCCAGCTGACTGATGACTTTGACTGCCGAAGAGAAGACAGCGAGGTGGTCAGCATCGAACTTTCAGAGGACCAAAGTGCCATTCTGATCTGTAAAGCCCTCAGCATTGAGCTCTTAGATACTGGCATGTGGAAGGTCGCTGAAAAGTTCAGAGCTAAGCACAATGAACGATTTATATCTGCCGTGCTGTCCAAAAATGGAGACTGCATCATCGCGACCATGGAAAATACCTCAGCCGTGTTTTTTTGGAGGCGGGACACAGGACAGTGTATGGCAAGCTTACAGGAAATCTCAGGTACCATAGTTAAGTTGGTGAAATCTAGTCACCACAACATGCTGCTATCTTTATCAACCAGTGGTGTTCTTTCTATTTGGGACATAGATATAATCACAGCTATGTCCAACATAGATAAGACTGGAAAACCCATCCAGAGTCTGATGTTACCTGCCAGAGGGGAAATCATTTACTCCCTTGATGGCTCTGATTGCGTTCATAAGTGGAACTTCAGCAGTGGGTTTATTGAAGCAGTATTTAAGCATGAAGGAATAGTTGAACACTGTGTGTTGACATCCTCTGGGGACATAATGGTGACATCAGATGACAAAAGCAGCCAGTATGTCTGGCACACCAGCAGCGGTGAAAACCTCTTCCGAATTAATGGGCAGAGAATATCTCAGCTGCTAATTACACACAATGACCAGTTTGTGGTCTCTCTCTGTGAGGAAAATGCTTCCAGGGTTTGGAGACTGGCCACAGGCCACAGGGTCTGCAACATCCTGACCACTTTGCAGAACGCCTTTATAACCTCCGCAAATACCTTCGTGGTGGGAATGACCAAAAGCAAAGTGCTGGCGGTCAGCCTTTGGACCGGAAGTATCACCAAGAAATTTTGCTGTGAAGATGGCACCACAATTGTGAATTTTAAATTGATCCCCGACTGCCCTGACATCATCGTGTTTATCACCTCGGCCGAGACAGTAAATATCTGGAGTCTGACAGATGAAGTGATCTGTCGCCGTGTGCAACTTCCAAACAACTTCTTGAAAAATCTAGAGGATTTTGAAATTTCTCCCAATGGAAAGCTAGGCATTATAGCCAGGGGAGACGAAAATATCAACGTGCTGGATTTACACAGCGGTAAATTACGGGTGGTTCACGCTTCTGGGGTCATCTGGCGGCAGAGGTTGTCTCGGGATGGTCGCTACCTGGTATATATCTGTTTCCGAAATGGGGAGGAAGAGGATGAAAATGGTGTGATATCCAGTTTAATTGTAATGAGACTGGCTGATGGTAAAAATATCGGTGCTTGCTCCCTTTACAAAACCCCAACTTTTCTTGCCCTCTCACAGAGGCACCTGAACATCATTGTGGGTTTTGACGATGGGAGCATAGGGATATACACGGTCGTGGACCGTGTAGATGCTGCACTAAAAATTAAAATTGCCACTTCAAATAGCAGACAAATTTTCAACAATGCAACACAGACATCCAGGCCAAAGTGTAATAGCTACTGTTTTAAAGTGTCTGTGGATTGCTTATGGAGAGAGTCCACTGAGGTCTTTGCAAGAGACAGTCCCATCACAGTGAGTGACTCCACTGAGCCTAATGAGGCAACGCCCTCCAAGAAACACAATTCTTGCTATGACCGGGTGTGCTCTGCCCTGGAATCCAGGGGCCACAGCTATGCCCCTGACAACTGACAAAATGTTTTTCCTGCTCAGCAGAAGTACATGGTACATGTACAAAAGAAAAAAAAAGTATCTTCTGTATCCCAAATGATAAGCTACTCATTTCTTAAAGGACAGGAAAGATGCTGGAGTTCCAGTGTTAATTATTAACATGGTCATGAAATGTACAGAAATGTGAAATTGGTTTTGAGCTTGGTTTTTTGGTCAGAGTTTCTCCAGGAATGAAGTCTTGACAGAATTTCTAGAGATGATATTTAAATGGCTGCATCACCTGGAAGTTAGAGGATAGTTTTAAACTATCTTTGTGGGAAGAAGCAGCGTAATTTATTCCATTGGCTCCGAGGAGAGAGGCTAGAGACCATCTGGACTGGAATTAATTCTGCAGAAATCGGTTGAAATCGTGAACACAAGGAGTTGACTTCAGATGATTGTGTGGCCATAAGTAAACACAGCCTTAATCTTTCCTTACATTTTATAATCCTGACAACTGTGTAAACCCAGTCAGATGGAAGGTCCAAAGGTGCAAATTAATGTAACAAAAATGCCCAGAGGTACTCCCAGTTTCCCAAGAGAAAGGACGTGAAATGTGAGGCCAAAAATGGGCCTGGGACAAGAACTAACTACCACTATCATAGGGCTACTGACCACACAGAGTCAGTCTTCATGAAAATATACTTTCAACAGTTGCATGCGAGGGTTTCTGTATGACGGAATATGTGATTTCTAAACTATTTCCTGGGCTGCAAAAGAAGACATTTAATAAGAAACCACAATCTTTTCATGTCTTTTTGAAATGCCTGTTTGAGCTGGGTGTAAAGAAGAATTACAGAAAGGGCATTGCAAATGTGGTCAAACACCTGTTAATCGGTCTCACTGTACTAACAAGAGTCTGTGCTATTCAGGCAGATGTATGGAAGCATGAATTACTTCCTAAAACCCTGCAGTAAATCTTAATAGAAAGAAAGCTTTCTTGACATGCCATCTATGAAATACTGATGACATTTGCCTTACTCTCATGCCTCCTCTTTCCTGTGTAAAAGCAGATGGATGACCAAATACTCTGGGACAAACTGAATATGCCCGTCTTCGTGCTAAAATATTCCATAAATCTTAAGGGTGTCCAAAGGTTCTTCGCTGTTCCTCTTTGTAATCACTTTCTTACTTATACCCGCTGTACGTATGTTTCTTTTCTGCTTAAGGACTCTTCGGAGCCTTTTGTGGTCTTAACCATTTCAAAGCTTCTGCTTCAAAGCTTCAAAGCAGAAGCTTTGAAATGGGATTAAATATTTTTTTAAAACTACCTATTTAAAAGAAACTATTACATCCCAAAAGGGGAAAGTGATTTTCTTTCTTCCATGTCCTCCTCATGACACACCCCTGGATAACTTTCCAGAGGGTGTCATAGTGGTGGTTTGGTTTGGTTGTATTTGAACTGGCAGCAGCAACTTGAGTAGGCAGGATAATGAACAAGGACTGACTTCCTTTCAGATCTGCCATGAACTCATGGCGTATCCAAAGCCAGATCTTTAACCTCCCCACTGTATTGTTTTGTAAATTGCAAAATAAAGGTAGTGATAGCTTCTGCTATAGCTGAGTAGGGATGTCGGGGAGCAATGTGAGAAAAAAAGACAGCGACATCTTGATTGTTGATGATAATGGAAAAAACAAAATGACCTAACCCATAAGGAATCCAAGTCCATTGTATTTCACTTGGGCAAGCAGTGTGACACATACACATTCAAAGATGTGATTAAGATGTAAACACTCTACTCCACGGTAAAAGACTTTTTTTCAGTATGTTCCTCCTGGTCTAGCTACCAGGCAGGGAGGTGGTAGCCCAGAGAAGGCCCAGTGCTCATACAGATCATCTGGAGTTGACTGTATGAGTTGATACTTTTTTAGCTCTTCAAAGGCAACACATTCTTCTTCCTGTCAATATTAGTTGGACCTCTCTGCCACACATTTCTATGAATTAAATGCCTAGATGGATTAAATGTAGTGTGTGAATGTTCTATGTCAAAGCCAATAGAGTTTCACAAGTGACTTGAACGACTTTTCCTAACTTGTTTGCAACTGATAGCTCATATTGAATGTTTTTATGTAAACTTTGTATCGTGGGGAAGAATTACCCAATCAGAGATTTATATTTTCATAAGTGTTACATTTAGTTAAATTTTGTTACAGAGTTGTTACCACTAGAAAATTATGGCAGTCTTCAAACAATGTACAGTCTTGTGTATGTATTGTTTGTATGAATAAAAGATAAATGACTTAGATTCATGTGGCATTTGTTTTTCTCCCCCAACTTTGGTAGATGTAGCTGGAGATCTTCAGTAAGAATAATTGTTCGTGCTTACTGAGTGCCCCCGGTATGCCAGGCGCTATATTTGGAGCGTTGCATGCACTAAGCTGTGTAATCTTTACAACAGTCTTATGAGTAGGTACTGTTAGTATTCCAAATTTACAGATGAGGAAACCTAGAAACTGAGGTCCAGGGAGAATAGCTGCACAGGATTTCAGTGCACCATCAATGACATTTTTGTAAACTTTCTCAAAACATGTAAAAATATAGCATTGTTTATCCAGTAGGCACTCACCGACAATGACCTATAGGATAGTTTCTAACTTGCAGATTAGAGACGAGGCTAGGCTCTGAGGATCACGGGAGGACTTTGCACACTCCCAGGCTTTTCAGGTATACCGAAATAGTGGATGTATTCGTTCAGCAAATATTTACTTGGTCATGCATTTTGCCAGGAATACAAAGGTACGTAAAACAGCTTGTGCCTTCTAGGATTTTACATTTATAACAGGAAGGCAGTTAGGAAGCAAGTTCTATGTGTAAGTGCAAGGACTGTGTGCTTCCCTCTGGGATGAGGCTGAAGATGGGAAGGATGATAAACAAGAGGCCGCCCTACTCATAAATTGCCTCCAGGTGAGAGAGGAGGACCAAAGGAAACCTTCCCCTATGCATTTTTCCATCTCTTGCCTCTTGGATCTAAGAATCCTCTGATACACCAAAAAGCATTTTTTTAAACAGGGCAGTAATGGAGAGCTAAAGTGATGGTAACTAGGAAAACTTGTTTTGTAAACTTTCAGGTGAAACTTGTATCTAGTTCCACGAAACAATTATTCTCCGAGAAACTTAAAAACAAGGTGTTAACACAACAAATACTGTGTCCTTGCTACGTCCATTAGGCTATGCCCTAGGATGATTTGAAAATTAGTCACCCACAACTCCTGCCCTCCAGAATCCTACAATCTAAAGGAGACAACTAAAGTAGATGTAAGACCAACTGTGATAAACAGTTGTTAATAAAAGTTGAAGCTAGGTGCTGAGGATAGACTGCAGAGGAGGAAATTACCTTTGAGAATCAAAAAGGATAGCCCAGAGAAGCTGACGCATAGCTGAGGCTTGAAGGATAAGAGAACATCAGAAAGACATTTCAGGCGAAGGAAGTGGTGTGAGCAAAACCAGGAAGAATCGAAGCATTTCAATGACTTCAAATGTTATGTTGGGACTTTAGACTTTATTAGATAGTCCATAGGGGATGGTGAAAAAGTTTTTGAAAAGGGGAATGGCTGGGTTGGAATGGTATTTTAGAATGACTCAGGCAGTAGCAGGTCAGATAGATTAGAGATGAAGAGACCAGATGCTGGGAGACCAATAAAAAGATGATGACAATGATCTGAGAGAAAAAGTGTAAGAACTTGGTCTTAGGATGTGACAGTGAGAATGCAAAGAGGAGGAGCAATTCAAGAGAGATTTTAGGGCTTACTGATAGAGGCGGGTGATGAGGGAGAGCGAAAACAGGTAACGCCAGGTCCACCTGAAACTGGGCAGAGGGTAGAGTTACAAATATGAAATGAATGGTTGGGAGATGAAAGTAGGGGAAATAATAAAAATAAAGCCGGACCTGCAGAGTTCAAAGTTAAGACATCCATGCAGGCATCTGGAAATATGCTGTCCATGTAATGGAAAAATCTGAGCTAAAGATAAAGAATCTAACCAGTTATCTCTTTCTCAGAAGTCTAAAATGCCTAATATGGTACACTTTTTGGTTACAAATTTGCTTTAAAAATTTTCTTTTTTTAGAACTATGTTGACAAATCCACCCAAACTAACTAGCTTTCCTATCTTCTGTGACTCATCAGTTGGGAACAATTTATATGCCAATGAAAACATAAACACACCTAAAAAACTAAGTGAATCATGGTATTTCATTCCCGTGTGTATGAAGAATCTGTACATTTTTCTTCTGTATTTTTTACAAGGGCCCCTCAGATGTCCCTTCCGCATTCCGTGTGATCTACATGAAGCACAGATTACACATTGTGTAGACGCAGCTGAGGTTTGGGTTTCAGTGTATCAACATGACAAATAATATAACACTGGCAATTCGAGGTTACCAGCAACACCACCACCTCTGACAAATAATATAACACTGGCAATTCGAGGTTACCAGAAACACCACCACCTCTGACAAATAATATAACATTGGCAATTCGAGGTTACCAGAAACACCACCACCTCTGGCTTTATGGGATCCCAGTCTTTAATAGATGAGGTTAACCACCAGCTGCTTGAGCATACTAAGAGCAGTGGTTCGCAAACGGGAGGGTGAACCACTTGTTAAAACACAGATTTCTTCACCCTCCCTATCCTCTACTATTTCTGAATCCATATGTCTGGGGTGGGGCCCAAGAATTTGTGCTTGCCCCAGATGATGCTGATTCTAACAGCCCGGGAATCACACTTTAAAACTCAAGATAAATACCAAAGTCTTTTGGTCAGAATAACCTAACTGATAAATGTACCAATATCTTGGGGACATTACTAACGCATCGGCTAGAAGTTGATATGAGGGGCTTTATTGTGACAAAGGGTTTTATCAGAAAATGACGTAAAACAGCATATAACTTCCCTCATAAATTTACGGTTTTAAAGCATGCAGCTACGACCCAACTGGGAAATTCAAAAAATGAGTTACCCCCCATAAAGCGTAGCAAATGTCGTCTAAATGGCGCTGGAATCACTAAAGTGGACATGCGAAAAACTAGGGCAGTATTCAGTCCAGTTGCGTCTCCAGCGTCCTGTTCTATCCTAACTCTCCCCGGATGAGTTGAAGAGAAAAGAGAGAAGACGGTAGGCTAGGTGGCGCAGTTGCTTAACACATTTTCCTGTCACGCCCATCATTTACTTTGGAGCACAGGTGAAAAGAATTTCCAATACTTAAGCAGTATTTTACAGTAAAGCAACCAGTTTTCCACCCACCTTAGGTGCATGGATTGCAACCGGTACGGGCGTGCAGCTCAGTAGGTTGGACGGAGTGTTGCAGCCGAGATTCCAACACCCCAGGAAAAGGGAAGGAAAGTGGGGGGCGGGGAAGCATGATTTCGATGAACTCCCACTTGTGGTTTTGAGGGTGCAGGCGAGTGTGTGCAGCTTCCCCGGGAATTATCACCCTGGTAGCGACGGCGCGGCTTCTCAGACCGTCTCTCAAAAAGGCAGGAGATCGTGCAGACACCCGATCTAGGCGGCTATTCTGGATCTCTGCAGAACTGAGGAAGAAACAGAAAAACACAAGTACACGGGGGTGAGGGGGACAGATCTGTTTGCCAGGGGGTGCATTTATTGATCTCCCTACTTACGTTCCGAATCCTAGTCAGCTCCCCTCTCCCTACAGCGCGACCGAAAAGTAGGCACCAAAAAGTTTCCCCGCAGGGGCGGGCGATGGGTATGCAACCTGGGTGTCGGTACTCGGAGGCCGGGCTCCGGATGTTCTGCATCAGCGCGCCCGGAGGGCCAGCCCCGGCTCCGGGGGGTCGAGCGCGCGGCGTGGGGCGCGCAGGTAAAGGGTTACGCGTGCCGGGGAGGCTCGCCCGCGGGCCGGGCCACGTGACACGCCGGCCCAATGACGGCGCCGGGGCGGCCGCGGCGAGCGCGGCGGGCTCCGGGCGGCGCTGAGCCCCTGGTGAGTCCCGCGCGGCCGCCCGAGGCCGGCGAAGCCATGGGCGCCGCGACCCCGCCGCCACCGCCGCCATCGCCGCCCCGGCCCAGGTAGGGACCGTCCCCGGGCCGCGCGTCGGGCCCGCCGCCGGGAGGACGAGGGCTGGACTCCCGCGGAACTCGGCTTTGTGGCATTATTTCCCCAACTTCTCTCGCAGGTCGTTTTTATTTATTTCCTTTTGGCTTGGGGAAAAAAAAAAAATGGGGTGAGGCCATTCTCAGTTTGATTACTTCGGAAAAGTCGCGTAATTTAACACAGGCACCGAAGGAGAGGAGAATCCAAGGATAGGGGTTGGGGGAGGACCTTGACGAATTCCCCAAGCTAAAAGACTAAGACAGTTTGTAAAGCTTGGCATCTGATTGGAGGAGGAAACACTTTTGTTTTTAAATCCCTAATTAATGAACTTTCAGCAGTGCCTGAGAACTTGAATTGGAAAAACTGCAAGAGATTTGCCCCTTATTTCTAATTCCCCCCTTCCCCGATTTTTAAGTATCTGAGTGCTCTTGAATAAAAAGGAAATGGAATGCGACTCGCCACTGTTTCTTAGAAATGTCCTTGGGTCCCAGGATTTGCCCCCCTTGGGGTGCTGGCGCCCTGGGTGGCGGTGGGTAGGGGTGAGGAGAAAGAGTGCAGCTCGTGTTGAAAGAGGGTGCCAGGTGCAAACGGCTAAATGGTCACAGACTGTTTGCTGAATATTTAATAATTAGGCAAGCATCTATCTCCCAGGTCGATTTCTTGGGTCTCCTTGACCTTGGCAGTCCTGGTGAGGTGAGATTTTCACAAAGCAGCACTGAAGAATTTTTCCAGTGATATAAGACAGAAATCATTGTGTTTTTTCTTTTCCTCCAGCGCTGTAATGAACCTTAAAAACAAAACAAAAACTCCCTTTAGTAACTTAGTACATTTTATTTTCCATTGCGGTATAGATGTTTGCCCACTAAATTTACAGGAAGTCAAGTGTTCCATGAGGTGGTTCAAATCTTTAAAGAATGGGTGTTTGTTTTCTTCCTGTCACTATGAGGGAATTACTGATGGCACTTTTCACCGTGGATTTTGAATGTCCTGGGTGATTGTAACTAAGCTATGGTGAGGAGTAACAGTTGGAGAAAAAATGAGAAGCGTGAGAGTTGAAAGAAATGGAAAGTGGTCGCTGCTTTTAAAGACAATAGCTTCTGTATTTGCCACTTATTCCCACGTTTATTCCTCCAGTTAATCTATTTTAAGAAGGAGGAGACAGATGTTAAAACCTTTTAAGGATAAACACCAGTGGCTTTAGACCACCTTAGCAGTCATGAGGCAGATCACTGAAACAATAATCTCAAGCTCTAAGTAGAGTTCTGGAGTTATCTGTATTTTTCTAAAGTGTGAAGAGTCAGTTATAGGAAGCCCTGAGCACAAAGGAGGAATGGAGCAGACGCTGATAAAGGAAGACATGGTTCGTCTTATTTCTCTTTGCTCACTTTGTGTCCATTCTGATCTTGTTCTTTGATTCAGCAAGTATGTGGTAAGTGCCTATCTCATGGCACCTGGCCCCAGGGCCTGATTGTCTGTGGTTCTAAAGTTTTAGATATCTAATGGCATCTAAAGATAAGTGTGGCCAATTTAGCTATGTTCTAAGAGCTTTTGCATATCTGGAATTTAAAACAAAACAAAAACTTGTGTATCAACTAAATATGTTCGTTAGCTTAAAAATGGAATGATTCTCCTGGCTTCCCACCCAGTGCCTCTCTGAGCCTGGAAACACAATCTTGCTGAGCTCTGGCTAGAATCCATTCCCAGCCCAGGGGCAGAGCAGGTATGACCCTCGCTGCTCCTGGAAGTGCCCAGCCCTTGGTACCCCAAGAGCCCAATGACTGTGCCTTTTGGAATGATCTCCAGTTTCCAAATAACTGAATACCAACCTCCCAGTAGCTGAGTTTCCTCCACCTAGACTGTTTCAGATTCCCCTAGTTCAACAATTTTTCCAGTAACCCTGAATCTTGGACTCTTTTTTGGGTCTTGGTTGAATATTACCTAGCTCCTGCCTATTTTTTTCTCCTCCTCCCTTGTTTGGTCATTAGATTGATTATCAGATAGACTTTTTAGAGATCTGGAAAAAAGCAGTTGATAGACTCATCCTAGAGGAGGGCCAGCCTCAAACCTTCGCCTGTCTACAGGTTGGACAGGTCACCCGATAGTAGCCTTGCTTAGTCTGTTTACCACCTGAATGCTATTTAAGGGAATAAAGTGAGAGTGAAATATTTTATCTGCTCACACCCTTTTCACCTGAGAATATCATGGTCCCACAGAGATTAGAATCTTCAGAAGGACTGTATATCATCGGAATGACTCTGTCTGAAAGCATATTTCACACACCCATCAGGTGAGTATGTGTCCTGAAGCAGATACTTGTAAGAACTCAAAAGACTGACTCAGTGTCGTCAAGCATCTTAGAAAAGATGCTGCTGAGCTGTAGTGAATATTATTAGCATGAGACAAAAGGAATATCGTGTCTCAAATTTTACCCCACGCAGTGAACTCTGTTCTATTCAGTGTACAAGTGGCTCTCCAAAATAAAACTAACCCCTGACCTGGCCTTGGAGACCATGTGAGTAGACCAGAGACACCAGACACTCGACGAAGTGCTGGGGACACAGTCTTTAGAAAAGCCACTGGAAGATTTTAAGTAGAGCAGATCTGTAGTTTAGAAAGTTCACGCTGACGGCAATGAGGAGAGTAGAATGGGGAAAATACAAGCACGGCAGCTGCTGTAAAAACCCATGTGAGAGGAGAGAGGGTGGTGAATTGACTCAAGATATTTAGAAAGGGAGCAGAAGTATTTAGGATATTAACTCAAGGAAAATGTTAGGCGGCTCAAGTCTCTGAACTTAATTTACATGTTTCAAAATACCATTGTTCCAAGGTAGATAACCACAAGCTGAGTTTCATTGCAATGCTTTCCATACCGGCCACAGTTACTCTAGGGCCCCACGTAGTTTGTTTCCGTCACAGAAAAAAGTTTTTGCTAAAGAATGAGCCAAATATATTTCGGATTTCCAACACCCTAGTGCTTCTTTACGTAGACTTAGATATGTACATCTGAAGGCCGAGTTAAGATAAACTGTTGCCCTCATAGTGTGTACACATTCTCTGACTTAGCTTACCTCCTTCTAGGAATAAAAATACCGAGTTTTGATTATGTAACAGTAGTGGAAGTGGGCAGAACAGCCTTTTTTTTTTTTTTTTTTAAAGTTGGCCACAATGCTGCCTGCTGTATGTCACAAAAAAGGCTGTGTTATATTTGCAGGAGCGCAGCGTTAGAGTGTGTACTAGTGGTGAGAGGCACTGAACAAGTTACCTTAGTTACTGACTCACTGCCACGTGTATAGCTTTTAAATACAGCATGTATTTGCATATATTTGTAATTCACTTGTTTGCTAGTCCCAGAGTTGATCTCTACACACAAGAGTTTTGAAGTTTCTTTTAATTTTGGTGTTAAATCCTTTTCCCCCATTTGATAATGGAGCACATATCTTGGGTCTTTTATGTGCAATAAATGCAGATTTGATTCGTACTTTATGGCTATAAATCAGTATCCCTCTTATCTGATGATCAGACAAAACAACCTCAGTCCTCCAGAATATTGTATCGCAACCTAGAAATACATCAGAGAAGCCCACCTGCACCTGCGAATAGTTGAGAGTCACCTACTTAGATTCTAGAACTTATATGGCATAATTTATCTTTTGATTCCTAAGGAGCTTGGCCATCTTGGTTCCTGATCCACAGTAAGGAGGCCCACATTATAGGTTTGGTGTTGGGCTCTTATGATAAGTGTGAAATGTGGTCACAACCAGCTGCTAAACAATGAAGGCAATATAATGAAGGTTATCTGTGATTAAATCCTAAATCTATAACCAAAGGAAAATTGGGTTCAGAACTATCTGTTGGCAAGGAAATAAGTATCACACTTTGGAAAAATGCACTCTCAGTCCTTTTTTGAGCTAGAAAAGACCTTAAAAGTCATTTGGTTTAACCTCCTTAAATTACAGATGAGGAAACTGAGGCTTGAAGAGGTTAAATGATGTGTCCAAGGTCATATGGCTGCCCATTGGAAAAGCTACTGGGACTAGAATCTGAGCATCCCAGTTCCCAGTTCAGTCATCTTCCTACTACTGACCACAAAGTGCAAATTTTAATATTATAGAAAATTCGTTTTAAGTACCTTTTTCCAAAAATATTATTTATGGAGAAATTACTTATATGTACAGTGTCTGTTATCTATTGCTGTGTAACAAACCACCCCAAAACATAATCACTTAAAACATCGGCTGTTTGTTTAGTTTATGGCTCTGTGGATGAGCATTTTGGGCTGGGCGAATCTGTTGGTGTTTTCCAGGCTTCCGTATGCATCTGTGGTCACCAAGCTGGCTCTGCCTCTGAGTATTGGCTGACCATCGGCTGAGTCAGCCCGGGAGCAGCTGGGCCTCATGCCACCCACCATTGGGCAGGCTCACCTGGGCTCATTCACATGTTGGCTCAGCATGGTTTTAAGAGGGAGCATGGAAGCAAGGTTCCTCGAAACCTAAGCTGAAATGGACACAAGTTGCTTCTCCTCTAGTCTATTTTAAAAGCAAGTCATGAGGTCAGCCCAGGTTCAAGAGGAGAGACATAGTCTTTACCTTTTGATGGGAGGAGCTGCAGAGCCACATCAGAGAATGGAATGGATTCAGAGAGGAGTGGAGAATTGTGGCCATTTTTGCCACCTGCCATGTTGGCAGAGCACTTTATATAACTTACCTAACTTAATTCTCACAACAACACTAGAGCTTAAGGCAGAATTCCTGTTTACAAGAAACTGAACCCCAGACATGTTAGTCTGAGTTAGGCAGGGGTGGCAGCTGGTGAGTGATGGAACCAGCACTGGAACTCAGATCTGACCCGAAAGCCGTGTGTGTAACCACACCACAGCTTTGCTTCTCTGCGTGATGCTGCAGAGAGATGGTATTGTTAACTATCATACAGCTCAGAGTTTTGTATGAGCAAAATTTTACTTTGAGAATCATTTTTCTTGATTTGTGTGCTAAAAGGAAGTCAAAAATAATTGTGCCTATGAAGAACGTATGGTCTAATTTATATGTGTGTGTGCACACAAGCTATTTAAATAATAAGATTTAGAGTAAAAATAAATTAGATTATCAGAGAAGCATAAGAGGGGACAAGAGGATGAGCTTAGGGGAGCCAAGAGAAAGACAGATTTGAAAAGAACAGTATCTATTTATTACTATCTCGAAAGACCTTCTTATCATTTATATAAAAATAGGTAATATTCCCACTATACAGATGAAGTTATTTACCCAAGATCACACAGCTAAAACATGAAAAAGATGGCATTTAAACCCATGTCTTCATGTCTCCAAAAACCACCCCCTCTCCATTTGTTTTCCACTAAGCCAGTAGGCTTTGCTCCTCAAAGTGGGGTCCGTGGACCAGCAGCTGGATGGTCACCTGGGAGCTAGTTAGAAATGCGAGTCCTGACTCTATCTCAGATCTATTGAATCAAAATCTGCATTTTAACAAGGTCCCCAGATGATTCCAAAGCACAGTAATGTCTGAGAAGTACAGCACTAGAGGGAGTGTGGGAAATACAACTTGGAATAACACGGGTGGTGGAAGAGCCTTCTAGGCAGGGAGCTCAGCAAGAGCATTGGCCCTGAGGCTGGAGTCTGCAGGAAGTGGAAGAATTCTTGGACTGGAGATGGGGCCTCTTTTTGGAGGAGAGGGGAACAGTGTGAGACCTGTAGGTAGAATCACCATGGATCCTGAAGAAGTCTGCTTTTCAGGAAGGTCGATCAGGCAGCCCCGAGGGTGGCCTGGACAGGAGAAGACAACCCAGCTGTGCGGTTTTGTTGTCGTCTAGGTCTAGGCATGCTGTGAGAAAAGCTCAGACTACGGTATGGATAGTGGAAATAGAGAAGAAGTCCCCTCTGGGAGGCATCTCAAAGCACATCCCGCAGGACTTGCTGCCAAATTGGATTCTAAGGAAAGAGGACGTGAAGATGGTTCTGGACTGCCAAGTCCTGAATTGCGTTTCCCAACCTTCAGGTTGAGATATTATCTTTGCTTTTTTTTTCTTTACTCCTGAGAAAGAAGATGCTTTTTGGTGGTAATGGTGGTTTTGATTTTTTTGGTTGTTTTAAGGCAGCTTCCCTCATTCCTTCAAGTTGTAGTAATTTTTCAACTTTTGCTAAGAGGCAGTTCAAACGTTAAAGTCCCAAATCTGTGTGCCCATGTTAACCTCCTATAGAGAGTGAGAGAATGTTTTTTGGCAGGCAATTAATTATAATGAGACCGTTCTTCATGTAGTTCTTCAGTTTACTAGAATTTCTCAGCTGCCCTGTGACATCTGTATAGGTAGGATTATTGTACCCCTTTCACAGTTAAAGACACTGAGACATAGTGGCGTCACTCAGCCAAGATCTGAACCCAGGTGTACTGACTCAGAGCCCAGTCTTGTACCTGTCCACTGATACTCTGCAGGTTATTTATTTGGTCTTTGGAGGAAATTATCAGTCTGATCTGTTTTTAGTTTGGGGTTTGTTTGGGTTTTTTTCCATATACGCTGTGCCAAACTCAGAAAGGTACTTGAAAGTTTATATTGGTGATTTTGAAGCCACTATTTCATGGAAACTCGAAAATGCCTCATAAAGCTGGTTTCCTCCCTGGCCTAATTTCTTATTTCATTGATTCCATATGTTGATCCCAATGGCAACAAACCACACTTTATATTCCAAATGATATGAGTTATTTTGCAGCCTTTTCCGTTGATTCTTTGAAGGATAAAAGGATTTTGATTTTTTTCCAAGTAAATTTTTAAGCCTGTTTCTTACACAGCTAAGCTGAGGCTTTAAAAATGTCCTTAGATTACAGAATCATGACCTGGAAAGGGGCTTCACTGTTTGAAACACCTCATTTTATGAAAACCGAGGCCTGGAGAGAGGAAGGGGCTTGTTCAAGGAAACCCCACAGTCAGAGGCAAAAGTGTGGCTTGCAAACCTCACTTCCAACCCCGGTTTCTGCACTCTTTGACTAAGGACTTCAAAGCAATTCCTTTCCCTATTGTCCTGTTTCCCAGCCTCTGGTGGGCAATGTGGCGAAGTTGGGAGAGCTCACACTTTAAAGTCAAGATGACCTGGATTTAAATCCTGGTTTGCTAGCTATCTAGCGTGTAACCCAATGCATTTACTGCTATAGTCATTTCTAAAGAGAATCATAAAACAGTTAATTGGCTAGACAGTCAAGATTTAGTTCACAAAGTACAGTTTATATGCATTCTCTTTTTAACCTGACAGGACAGGTTTTTATGATTCTCACTGGGATTTG